CTCAATGCACATTGGTACTCATAATACATCAAGCCATGGTGCATCAGTCGCTCCACCACTCAGCAACAAATGGCCATGTGTTATAACACCATGGAAGCCATGAATATGGATGTCACACCACTACTCAATTCAATTTTTGCACATATGCAAGGCTATTTTTGAAGAGGCAAGTCCTGAGCAGAATGCCAGTGCTGGTTATTCCTCTTATGCTGTACTTTGACAGACTTCTCAAACACCTCTTCTCCGTGTTTTATTCTTTCCAGGTTGGAACGAATTGCTTATTGCGTCTTTCTCACATCGGTCCATAGCTGTGAAAGATGGTATCTTGCTAGCCACGGGCCTACACGTCCACCGGAATAGTGCTCACAGTGCAGGGGTTGGCGCCATCTTTGACAGGTGAAGAGGAAAGAACTTGCAGGTGGAGGGTGTGTTGGGATAAGGATGGTGCTGGATGGAGCTTTTGTAGAAGGCAAAGGTGTCAAGCAAAAAGCTGGACAAGCCTAAGTAGAACAAGCCAACTGCTGTTACTGAAATATTGAGGAGGACCTATAAAGGAGAGGATATAACCTAGAGCAGCAGTTCCCAAACTTTGGTCTTCCATGTGTTTCAGATTTCAATTCCCAGAAGCTCTAGCTAACTTGGCCAATAATCAGGAATTTTGGGAACTGAAGTCTAAAACATTTGGATAACCAAAGTTTGGGAACCACTGACCTGTTAGGAAGAGATAATTTGATAAGATCTGAATAGGGTCAGGGGAGCTGGGAATGTGTGAGTTCAAGAATGGTTGCTTGGTTAGAAACTTCAGCATTACTGTGTGGGGAATTAGCCTAAGGCAAGATGTTTGATTTGCTATGTAACCATTCTCAACTGTTTTGTTATTTCCTGCACCCTTTCTTGGGGATGGCAGATCTGGTCACCATGGTTCATGCCTTAGTTATCTCCCAGTTGGAGTACTGTAATGCACTCTACATGGGGTTGTCCTTGAATAATGTTCAGAAGCTGCAACTAAAACAAAATATGGCAGCCAGACTGGTGTCAGGTGTGCCTTTTAGATACCTTACAATACTGGTCTTGCAAGAGCTGCATTGGCTTCCAAGTTGTTTCTGAGCTCAATTCAAGGTCCTGGTGAAGCCCTCCATGACTTGGACCAAGGTAGCTGAAAGACCACATATGAGCCTGCCAGAAATATGAAATCTTCAGAGGAGGCTCTGCATTTCAACACCTCGAAGTTAAGTTGATGGGTGCATGTAACAGGGCTTTCTCTATAGCAGCACCTCAACTGTGGAACTCCCTGCCTAAAGTTAGGCTGGCCTTAAGCTTCCAACAGGCAGCCAAAACAGTGCTGTCTCACATGGCATTCAGAGTCTGAAATTGATGTTTTAACTATTTTAAAATGGAATTCGAGGGTTGCTTTTAGACTGCTTTAGAGTGTCTAAATCTGAAAGACCCACACATCATGCAGATGTAGCGTTAACCAGCTAAGCTTGTGAGGAATACTAGTATTTCTGTAATGAATAAAGCACCATGTCAGGTCATTAGAATTTGAGAGATGCCAAGGAAAGCTAAAATGAAAAACTATGAGGCTAAAGAAAAAGAAGTGAAGGTGACCCAAGGAGCCGCGGATGAGAAATGAAAGTTCCTATTGACCGATTCTTGAAAGACTGGGTTACAAATATTTAAGCACATACTCTGAACCCTTTGCTTTTGTTGTTGTGTGCCTCCAGAGTATTGACAGAGCTGGTGTCAAAAATGAGAGACATGCAGATGGACAAGACAGAGTTGGGATGCCTCCGAGCCATTGTCCTCTTCAACCCAGGTAGGCTGAGCTGCTCTTCCTTGTTAGGAGTGTGTGTGTGAACCTTAAATTGGACATAAGGATATCAAGCAGAAGCAGGCAACTGTGGAGAGCTAGGAGGTTGTGTTAGCCTCCCAGGAGAACTTGGTGGGCCACATTCTTCACTACACCCATTACAGTAAAAAAATAAAGCATTTTATTTTGCACTCAGATGCACCCAAATGCCCTTAGCTGACATGGGAGGCATTTTCACCATTACTTTTCCTTCCTGGGCCACTTTCTGTTCACTTAGGGGGATTGCAGACTGCCAGAAATAGTGCAAATTGAGTCCACTTTTAGGGTTAGGGTTAAGGAATCATGGGAACTGTATTTTATTGTGGCACCAGAGCTCTCTGACAGAGAAGGCTCAATGTCTCAGAAAAAAAACCAGTTCCCATGATTCCCTAGCACTAACCCTAACCCTAAAAGTGGACTCAATTTGCACTATTTCTGGCAGTCTGCAACCCCTTTTAGTGTATCAAAAATGCACCCCTTGTACCTAAATTGGTCCAGACACACAAACACACACACACCCCATGTGATGGAGATGGTGATGTGCCCCAGAGAGCATTAGTGAACAAAAAATATTTGTTGAACATTTTTATATTTTCCCCCTGGGAGCCACCAAAATGCCCCTGAAAGGCTATAGAAAGGGTGTGTTGGCATATCTGGAGAATGGCCAACCACCATGACACAATGGTCAACCATTGTATGGTACTATTTTGTGACTAAAAATGTGTTTGTGCTCAAAGCATAGCTTTTGCAGGACAATTTCTTTTTTAATTTAAGCAACATTTTACAGATTGAATCTCCTATATCTGAAATGCTTGGGGCCAGACGTGCTTTCAATTTTGGAGTTTTTTGGATTTTGGAATATTTGCTGATACATCATGAGATAGCTTGGAGATGGGACCCAAGTCTAAATGTGAAATCCATTTATGTTGCATATGCACCTTATGCGCATAGCCTGAAGGTCATTTTATATACATAACATTTTTAATGATGTTTTACATGAAACAAAGTCTGTGTATACTGAACCATCAGAAAGCAAACGTGTGACTATCTTTGACAGCCATGTGGACAATTCTGGATTTTGCAATATTTCAGATTTCTGAATTCTGGATGAGGGAGACTCAATTTGTATGTAGAAATTGTCCTTTTGCCAAAAGACACTTGTGAGATCTTGTATCCTGTATGGAGAAAGTTACTGTGGTATATGTCCCTTGAAGCTCTCCTAGGGGGCTAATGTCAACTCGCATAGTTGACCACTCCTGCATTAAAAGTAGAGGTTTTCTCTCCAGTTTTCATTTTGGCAAGCCTATGTGTCCTTGCTTTTAGATATTTTTAAACAACTGGGGAGAGTTTTCTGTTCAGAAGTGATTCTCTATTGGGATGTTTCTGGGGAAATGATCACAGCATGTGAGGTAAATCACAGAGGACAGAGCCCCCCAATATAGACACCCCTAAATTTCATTGGAGTAATTGGATTTTTCAGGTTATGGAATCCTTCAAGTGAAACGGCGCCCTTGAGAATATGCCTGATGGATAATTTAATCCCATCAAGATTATTTGGTTTGTTTTTTTCTTTCCACATCCCATATGGTGGCATTCATGTAGAGCAATGATGGTGAACCTTTTAGGCACCGAGTGCCCAAACTAAATGGCCTTCTGGCACTGGGTGTTACCCACGCCGGAGGCAGGACTTCCAGAGGGAGCAGGACTTTCATGGTGGGACTTCCACCCTATGGGGACAGGACTTCCAGGATGGGACTCCCCCCCCCCAATACCTACCTCAGTCTCTGGAGACAGCTGAAGGCCCATGAAAAGGAAGAAAGGCATGCGTCTGTTCCACCTCCTCCCCCTGCACCTTTCTGGGCCTTCAGCTCCTCTCCAGAGGCAGCTGAAGACCTAGAATGGCCAGGAGAAGGAGGAACAGGCATGTGCCTTTTCCTCCTCTTCCCCGCTCCATGTGCCAGGGAAAATGGCTTTGAATGCAATCTCTGGCACACATGCCATAGGTTCACCAACACAGACTTAGAGTTACAGATGATGAGACCCTCCCTGATGTCATAAAATGAATTATTATTTGCTTGAAAACCTCTTGGAGTGAAACACACACATTCACAAAGACAATTGTTTTCCCTTAAAAATTTCCATGCTTCTCCTCTTTGGGAGGTTTTTCAAGCTCTCCAGCTTTATTACCAACTTTCATCTATTGCAGACTCAAAGGGGCTTTCTAATCCCGCTGAGGTTGAAGCTTTGCGTGAGAAGGTGTATGCATCACTTGAGGCCTATTGCAAACACAAATACCCCGACCAGCCTGGAAGGTGAGTTTCTGCATTTGTTCTGCATTATCCAAGTACAGCATGGAAACTTGGGAATTTGCTTTCTAGATCATATTGTTTGAACATGATGGGTAATTGTGGAAGGCTAGGGGTCTGCATTAGCCCCCAGGAGACCTTGGAGGGCTGTGCCTCTCTGGAGACCAGGGTTTGAATCTCATCTTGGCCATGCAAACCCACTGGGTGATCTTGGGCAAGTCACACACTTAGCCTTAACTCAGCCCACCCAATTTATACAAAATCAAAAACTTTCCAACCTTTAAATAGGGGACATCCCTTACAATAAAAGACACCTGGCAAGCCTAGGAGAGGTGCTCCCTCAAGTACCAAGGTCCCAAACCATTTTGGTCTTTGACACGTTGTTATCATTGACACGTTGAATTCATATTGGCAATCAGTGCCATTTCTATAAAACTGGTGTTCAACGTATCTTCTGATATTTTGTAATTGAAAACTGGGACCCTTGTGGCCAAGCAACATCCAAGTATGATCAAGAAGGGAAAAGTTATTAATGAGGAAAAACTGGCAAACTAAGATATATTACAGTGGTTTTCTTCTGATTGAGCCTACTGGGAAGGGGAAAAAATCTCCTCCTCTCCTCTGGCCCTGCTGAATTAACTGTGCAAATGACTGTTGCACTTTGAATTCAGTTTGCAGGAATTTAAGTAAGCTTAAGACAAGTTGGGATGTGAGAGGAGGAGAGAGAAACTGGAACATTTTAAAAACAACTGGAAAGTAGGATTGCAGAGGATTAATTGGGACTCTCCATGTCAAATCTGGACAGTAAGAGGTATGGTTTAAATGGATTCTGCATAATGTTGTGAGCCAGTGTGGCATAGTGGTTTTAGTGTTGGACTATGACTCGGAATTCCAAGGTTCAATTCCCAGCTCAGCAATCAAATCCACTGGGTGACCTTGGGCAAGTCACACTCTCTCAGCTTCAAAGGAAGGCATGGGCAAACCTCCTCTGAACAAATCTTGCCAAGAAAACCCCATGACAGGTTTGCCTTAGGGTTGCCATAAGTTGGAAACAACTTGAAGGCCCACAACAACAGCAGCAACAGGATGTTCTATCCTATAAGTTTTCTGACTGTGAGTTTGGGCAGAGGAGGAATTCCATTTCTGCCCGCAACCAGAAACCAGGAGAAGGGGAAGATATAAAATCAGCGAGAGAGTGAATTAATTTTTCGTAGCATATTGATTTGCTCTGTTAGGAAATGGATTCACTTTGGCATACTTGGTTGCCTTGGAATGAGATGAGTGGGAGAATCCTCCTTACGGATGTCAAGAAATTGGCAGACAGACATTTCCCAGCTGCCCCTTAATTGTAACCAGGAGCTTATCCAGCGATTGCATCTCATAGCTGCCCAAGAGGAGCTATTGCTTGTGTTTGTGTGTTAAGTAATTCCCACCCTCCATATTGTGAATCTGAAAGGGGGGTTAGCAAAGACAGAAAGTTCCAAGCCAAGGGAGTCCTGATTTTGCCACTCTGCTCAACGCCTTTGGCAGGACATTGGGTACGTGACCTTAAGCATCCCCTCCTTGTCTGAATTTTAACCCAGCCTTGTTGGGATTCTTCTTACCCTTCCACTGAGTTGTTACCCAGAGTTGGTGAATTCACAGTTAAAGTCTTTCCAGACCTCCGTCATCTGGTTTAGTTTAAAAGAGAAGCTTTCAGAGTTTGGGGCAGGGAGGAGAAGGGGGGTGGTTGGAGGAAGAAGAGAATGGCAGTGTTTGATTTGTATTTTCCTGGCTTTTGTCCCATTCTGCTTGCCAACTCAGCATTTAGAGGAAGGGGGGGGACCTGGGACTCACGCACGAGAGAATGCCGCCTGCTCTTCCGCCCCCTTCGTCCATTGGCTGGTTGGCTTCCAGGTTTCCAACATTGCATTGCAACTTTGGAAAACCACACATGTGCCTGCAGTGTAACAGCAAATATAAATAAATGATGTCACCCTTAAGTATTCCCTTGGGGAATTTTTCTGCGCATAATAGGTGCACAAAAGGGCTGCAGTTTATGTGAATGAAGAGACTGTGAGTTGCGTGACTGTATGTTCAGTGTGTGTGTGTGTGGGGGGGGGGAAGATATTCAAAGATCTATTGAAGCCTTTCTGGGGGCAGGGAACATTTAATAAAGAATGGAAAGAGAGATCCAAGGACTGGGACTAAGACTAAGGATGTGATCTTCTGGATATTGCTTGGCCTACAATTCTCATCCCATACCCTCCTCTTCACAGAAGAAAACTGGGACACATGTGGCCAAGCAACATCAGAATATGGTCAATATGGCACATATTAGTAATAAGGAAGAACAGACAAGCTAGGAGAGGATGCAGTAGTTTGCTTTTACCTGAGCTGGCTAGAAAGGGCAAGACTCTGACTTCTCCTCTCCTCCTCTCCCACCGCAACATCTCTTTCCAGTGAGTTAATCCAGTGCAAACTCATTTTGCACTTTGAACTCATTTTGCAGCAGTGTATAGTAAGCTCAGGACAAAGGTGAGATGAGGGGAGAGAAACCAGGACATTTTATAAGCAGCTGATAAAGTGGGACAGCAGAAGATTAACAGGGACTGTTCCTGCCTAATTGGGATAGGTGAATGCAGAGGTGTCACTAGGGGGGTGCAGGGGGGTGCACCACACCGGTGACACCTCAGACGGGGAGAATACCCAGTGGGGCAGTCTCTCCCATCTGTCCCAAGACTCACCTGGCTGTTCATCTCTGCCAGTCAGGGCTGATACTGCTGCTGGCGCTGGCCTTCTTCCAGGTCTAGAGTGGCTGCTTCCAGTTGGCACCTCTTTCCAAGTCTGGAGTGGCTGTTGGCCAAGGAGGAAAAAGAGTTGCCTTCCTGTCCTGCTTCTAGCAGCCTCACTAGACCTAGAAGGGACTGACGGGCAAGAGCAGCACCCCATCTCTACCATGGCACAGCTGGCTGGTGAAGGGGGGCAATTGGAGTGTGTGCCAGGCAACCTGAGGGTGACAGCATGAGTTACTGCACTGAGGTGATCCCCAAGCCTAGCGATGTGATTGAGTGGAAGGATGACTTTCACTCTAACCAGTTGCAGTTGTGAGCAAGGATGGTGGATCCAAGGGCCAGTTTTCTACCCTGTATCTTTCTAGAGGCACGCAGAGTGTTAGGATTGTCCACCCAACCTCCCAGAGTTAGCTGAAAGATGACCTCTGGTTTTGAAAAAAAGAAAGGAATTTTTAATGTTGAAAACAGTGGCAGTCATTGTGTTTCTCTGGGAGACTTCTTGGAGTCAATAACCTTTTGTGGAACAGGATGACGTGCTCTAGAGCAGTACTTCTTGGGTTATCCGATGTGGGGACCAGCAATTATTTTTTTCCCCGTGTGCCAGGGGCCAGCATTGGCTACAGTTGTTTGCTTCAAAAGGGGGTCTTCCAGGCTGCAAAAGTAAGGTGTGGGATCTTGTGGCCCACATGAACCATTTCTCCAACCCATGGTCTACAAGAATTCCTTTTTGGTCTACACCCTCTTTGGTCTGCTTCCGTTCTTCTTAAGTGCCTCGTTTCTTTTGTAGGTTCGCCAAGCTCTTGCTTCGTCTCCCTGCCCTCCGATCCATCGGCTTGAAATGCTTGGAACACCTCTTCTTCTTCAAGCTAATAGGGGACACGCCGATCGACACTTTCTTGATGGAGATGCTGGAAGCTCCCCACCAAATGACTTAAAGAGGCAAGGAGTGGTCCCTTTCCTCCTTACCCAGCAGGCTTCCGGCCACTGCCACCGCCACAGTGACGCCCCCGTACCGCTGCCACCACTTCCTCCTCCTCCCTGGTGCAAGAGACACTGTCCGCTCTTCTCCGTCTGACACCCTGCCTGGTGACATTGTTGACTCAGTCCTTTTGCCGCTTTCACAATCTCTGTGCATCTGAGGATCTGATGATTGGCTTTTGCAATCCCTTTCACAGATTTAAAGGCAAGCCAGTCTTTAAATGTGCAAAAGGCACACCCGGCCACACGCTTGCCCCTGCTTTGTGAGCCTGGCACCTCTTTCCTGAGCACAGGTGGATTTCCCAACCAGTCTTCAATTGGGATCCCCCTCATCTCTTTTGTGTTTGTGGCTTTGGATGTCCCTCGGTGCACACGCACACACAAAAACACACACAGATGCACACACACATGCACACACGGAGTTGTCTAGGGTGTAGGGGGTGAATTTTATTTGCTTGTGTCATTGCAGACAAGTGGACTTGTTGGAGAATGAAAGGGATGTTATTTCCCCACCAAAAACAAAAACATATGTACTGTATACAGAGAAAACAAATTCATACATACATGGTTGGAGTTTGGATGAAATCTGACTTAGGAAGATTCTTCTGGAGCCCTCTTTTATTTAAGAGCCAAGAATTGTGGGAGATGGGTTTTTTGTATGTAGCAGGTCAGAATCCAGCGTGGGCATGAAGGGCAGTGTTATAATTCTTTTTTCTTTTTGTGTGTCTGTCCAAAAAACAAACAAACAAAAAAACCCTCTCATTTTCAGATGGCAAATCTAGAGGCTGCTTTAAGGAAGTGATACTCAGGGCTGCAAGTCCTTCACCAGCATCTTTGCTTACCATGTGAGCAATATTTTTTGCTTGATTCCATGGCACAGGATTCAAATTGTCTGGTCCTGTAGTTTTCTTTAAAGGTCCCCTCTTGTTTCTACTGGCACTATCTCTTATATTTTCTTTTACTGAGTTTGCTCCTGTGCCATTAACAACCAGCTACTAAACTGTGATATTCAGGTAACAATTTCCCTCTGTTGTTTACCAAAAAGCTTCATTTCTCCAGAGGAGGTTGCTCTTGAAGAATCCAGATCAGAGTCAGGATAAAATAAATGGGTGGCAACCCTGTCTCAGTGGAATAATTCTGCATGTGAAGCAGACTGGCCATGTATCAGCACTTTTAAAAGCAACTTTTTGCAGACCTGTTCAGTCTTTATAGAGCAAGATGTGCTGTCCTGCTCAGCAGATAGGAAAGAAGATTCTCTTCTCCTTCATTTTATTCTCTTCTCCATTCTGAACTGGAAGCCAGGAGAGACAGTGTGGTTGGAGGAAACTAAGAGTTATAGTCCAAAAAGAAATAAACTTTTCTGAGTTCTGGTTCCAAATCCAAGGCATATCCTTTTATCTTTCATTTTTTAAAAAATATATAGATTGGCATTCTATTTGGATCTTGAGTCTTCCTCAATGGCCCTACATGTGTGCAAAATTGAACTGAGTAGTATCATAGTGTCCATATTCACTTAGGGTCCACTGCAATGTTGCAATGCACATTGGTGGAGTGACTGATGTGGACACTGATGTGCATTGTGGTGGTCATTGATGTGCCTCTGGACACCAGCTAGGAAGTGCGAGAGCACAATAGCAATTCCTGATGAGCATCGCAGCGCCCCAATTCACATTGGAAGTACCCAGTGTGCATCAGAAGTGCCTGGTGCACATTGGAGCACTCTTGACACAACCTGGATGTGCATTGTTACAGTTCATTCACAGGGTTTTATTACATTTCTGCAACATAGTAATGGATTTGGAAAACTACAGAATGGAGACTGTGATGGAGGATTTTGGCCACAGTAACTATTCTTCTTACAGATATGGTCATCCAAATATTTTGTGACCAATTTACCAACATAAATGTAACCCCCACCCCACCCCAAAAGCCATGTCTTATAGTGATTAGCAAACCCTTTTCTTTTGGTAGTCCAGCAGGGAACTCCAGAACATTAATGGTACCAAAAGAAAACCCTAAAGAAGCCATGTTTCTGGTTCCTAAGTATTTGGAACCTTTAAAAAGAGATTTGTCTCAGGGAATGGGTGATCAGATGTCTCCAGCAGCACCCTCCTGTTCCCCTGTACAGGTGTCTCCTTAGCCCAGTTTTCCATTCTTCTTTAAA